TTATGGTAATTCTAATCTTCTTTGTTCTATTTTAATATCTTGTAGGTTAATATTATTATTGGTAGTTAATGTACTAAAATTTTTACATAGACCTTCACTGTTTTTGTTTCAGTAATTTTTCTTTAATTACAAAGTAATGCATATTTGCATTTTTAAAATAAGCAATACAAAAGTGTCTAAAGTAAACATGAAAGTCCCTTTTGTTCTAACCATTCATCCTCTACCCCTACCCTTATGGGGCAGCCACTGTAAACAGTTTCTTTGTAGCTTCCATATCTTTTTATGCTAACTCATATTGGGAATAGTTGAATATTTAGAGTTGTTGTATAAATAAAGTTATTAACATTGCATTTCTTTGGAAATATCTACAGCACATTTTTTCCTCTGGTTGATTCTAGCACCTTTCCTCCTTTTCTTTCCATGATTGTTACTGACACAGGATTGTAGTTAAGGAAATAATTCAACTAAGGGGTACATTTATATTCCCATTGAACAAATGCTTTGCCCTGGACCATCCAAGTTTCATTCTTAGGCCGAGAGTGGAAGCTCATGCTGTAATTGGGAAGCCAAGGTGGGTGGATCACTTGAGGTCAGGAGTTTGAGACCAGCCTGGCCAACATGGCTAAACACCGTCTCTACTAAAAATATAAGAAAAAAGTAGCCTAGCGTGGTAGAAATTGGAAAAAAAAGAAAAAGAAACAGTAAAAAAGATCAAAAGGCCAGATGCAGTGTCTCATACCTGTAATCCTGGCATGCTGCAAGGCTGAGGCAGGCGTATCACAAGGTCAGAAGATCGTGACCATCCTGGCCAACATGGTAAAACCCCATCTCTACGAAAAGTACAAAAATTAGCTGGGTATGGTGGCAGACGCCTGTAATCTCAGCAACTCAGGAGGCTGAGGCAGGAGAATTGCTTGAATCTGGGAAGCAGAGGTTGCAGTGAGCTGAGATCGTGCCATTGCACTCCAGCCTGGGTGAAGAGCAAGACTCCATCTCAGAAAAAAAAAAAAGAAACCCATGGTGGTGGATTAGCTTAAGGCCTGGTGTGAGGCAGTTGGATATTGAAATCTGTTAAGGCTGGGCAGAGACTTCAGAAATAGAGTGGGGAATTTCTTTTCTTTCTTTTTTTTTTTTTTAAAGATGGGGTTTCACCATGATGGCCAGGCTGGTCTTGAACTCCTGACCTCAGGTGATCCACCCACCTTGGCCTCCCAAAGTGCTGGGATTACAGGCGTGAGCCACCACGCCTGGCCCAGAGTGGGGAATTTCTGTTGCCTGGTGAGACAGAGGGAGACTTGATATGGGCCCACTGTGAGATAGACCTGATGGTCAGCTCTGCCTCATCTCTTAGGCTAACAGTGTAATAATCATTTGCTTCTCTCTCCCAACCTCCTCCATCTCCTAAGCTTTGTCAGTTTCTATTTCCAGAATATCCCTATTTAATTCTCAACTCAAATTCTGCCTTCTCCAAGCAGATCTCTAAGAAATTAGAAGGAAGTAGTTACTCCAATTAAACTCAGGTTTACCTTTCACTGTATTTTTTCAGACTTTGTACTTTAAATACTTATTAACATCTGCCCTGCAGTGCCTCCCTCACTAAGTATTAGCTCCTACGTATTAGGAATCCACAATACTTATGACAGTATTTTTTATGCTGTAAATTCTCAGTTAATATTACTGAAAGTCTTCATGCAGTGCAGTTGTAATACTCAATCCTTCATCCACTAGCCTTTTAGTTATTTTTGCATGTGTGTATAAGCTTCCTTATTATGTTTCAGTAGCCCTTATAAAATGATTGTAATTGTCATATGCCACTGTAAAAGTGAGGCACTTTTAGAACATTAAACTAGACATGTATCTCTGCAGTCTTTATATGCAATCTTTTTTGTAATATTGCAAGTTTTTGCTGCTTTTTTGAAATAATCAAATATGAAACAGGTAGTATAAGTTACAATCTAAGGCCAAGGCAAATTTGTTCATCCTATTAGTCATTTGGTTCATTCGAATGGCTGATAATAGAGTTGAGTGTGAGAATATAGTAAAAAGCAGGACTTTTCACTGGAGACTTTTTAAATGTCCTGGTAGCCCTGACAGTCTTTTCGTGCTGTTTTTAAGTGGGCAAATTGTACCTCACTTGTTGTAACTTGGAGACCGTCTTGAAGTACTTTAGGGTCTTATTTCGAGTCTTTTAGCCCTTTCTGTGAATTTCTGTCATCAAAAGAAGTAATGTTTCTATAGGTTTCACTAAAATAATACTAATTTGGAAATACTAATTATAAATTCTTTTCTATAGCCCAAAGCTAGTTATACTATATTTCCTATGAACTTTTTTTGTGGAATGCTTCAAGAGCTACAATATTCAGTCTCACTTACTTGATTTTATGTGAAGTCTTAGTTCTAATTGTATAAAGCAAATAAAGGTATGTTTTCTCAGCAGAGAAAAATCAAGCAGAATCATAATTACTTTGGCATGTAGCACAATGAAGAGGAGTCATCATTTTAGGGGATATTTTTTGTTTCTGTAATGAAATCAGCGAAGTTAAATGTGTATGTGTGTAGCAACATCCAATGGGCTATTTTACTCTGAGCGGGTAGTAAGTTTTCAGTTTGTTGATATGCAATAAACAGTTGAATTGTCTCTGTTAAATGTCACTAGTACTTCTCATTATTTTTAGAAGTCACAGGCTGTAACTGACAAGTCAGAATACAGAGATAACTTAGAATAACCCTGCTTTAGTATCAGCAAGTCTCCAGTTACGCTGCTTTACTGAGTGTTTTGTTAGACTATTTCTGGAGATTGGTTCAGTTATAAGCAAGCAGAGCTATCAGAAAATGCCAGGTTCACTGACCTGATTTCAGAGGCCATCTTTCCAAATCAAGTTTTCCTATTTCCAAATATGATGAAAATGTTTGCCAATTTTGTCAATTAATTGCATTATTTATGTTAATTCATTGTGGTATTATTTAGTTATTTATTTTAATTTTTTTTTCTTGAGCCGCTGATTTTACTATACATTTGGGCTACATTTTTCTTAAGAGAATCACCACAAAGTAATAATATAAATACCTTTTTTAATGTGAAAAGATATAAAATCTCTTTTAATAACTTCACTTATCCATCATATAATATCAAATATACCTGTAATCCCAAGTATGATCCTTTTGAGAAGGAAAGAAGTCAGATCAAATACATCATTAAGGAAAAATATGCACACTAAATAGACAACTCTACTGGAACAAAGACCATTATTTTGCATATTTTTTCATTCCCCAATTTCTGACAGGATTCTCAGAATTGTTTCTTAGTTAATGAATAGCAAATTGATTTATTGGTTAAATTAGCAACTATGGAGCTATCTAACAGTACAAAATAAATAAATAATTCACCAGAAACTAGCTCTAAGATATTAATTTTAATTACTTTGCAGCAACATAATTTAGTATCAAATGTTTCACAAGTACCCATTATAATTGCTAAACTGAAGTCACTATTATTTGTATCTGACCAGCTATACAAAACTGATCAGTTTTTCTCTTAACAAAAGGTAGTAAAAATTGCAAACAATAAAGAAGACACTACTCATTAAAAGTCACGTTTACTATTCTCTGAGTAGCTGAAAAGAAAGAAAGAAAGAAAAAAGTCATGTTTACTAATCTAGCACCATAAATCCAGTCTTAGAACCTCCTGTGCAGTTAGAAGGGGAATACAGGAAGAGGTGAATATGTTGGAAATGTAGGGTAGCTCTCAAATTGGGGTCCCATTTTGCTTGCTCTAAAGCAAAAAACGCAGGGTCTAGCAAAGAAGAGGAGCGCTGAGGCTGAAGATGAAAACAAAAGCTTTTGGTTCAGATGGTAAAGGAGGCCCTCAAGAGCAGTAGAATCAGTGTATCCCGAAGGCAGTGCTGGAGGCAGTCTCATGAACTAGGGGTTTTCTTCTTGGCATCCAAGTCCTTTTTAATTTCTTCAAGTTTTTTAGCCAGGATTTGGTATGTCATAGTTCTGAGCCAGATGCATTCCAACCACGTTGCCCAATGTAAATCCAAGCAGGAACTGGAGCGTGATGTCGGTGGTGAGGGCGAGGAGGGTGCGAAGGGCGGCTGCAGCTCCGCAGCCGGTCCCATTGTTGTATTTTTTAAAACTTTGTTCCTTATGTTTCTGTATTTTGTTTTGTTTTGTTTTGTTTTTTGAGATGGAGTTTCGCTCTTGTTACCCAGGCTGGAGTGCAATGGCGCCATCTCGGCTCACCGCAGCCTCCGTCTCCTGGGTTCAAGCAATTCTCCTGCCTCAGCCTCCTGAGTAGCTGGGACTACAGGCGCGCACCACTATGCCCAACTAATTTTTGTATTTTTAGTAGAGATGAGGGTTTCACTATGTTGACCAGGATGGTCTCGATCTCTTGACCTCCTGATCCGCCCGCCTCAGCCTCCCAAAGTGCTGGGATTGTAGTTGTGAGCCACCGCACCTGGCCTCTGTATTGTTTTTATTGAAAAGTCAGTAAAGAAAAGTAAATAGGGAATAGAGATGCTTACTTCTCAATAAGTGGACTTTGAAAGTGGTTTTTTTAATTAATATATTTCCATGTTCAGGGATTAGATTATGTAGTGCCAGTGAGGTACCTGAGGATTAGGAAAGAAGAGGCAAGTTAGATGAGACTGACGCACTACCTACTGTGCTAACGAGGCACCTGGGGAGCATGTTATAATTTAGGGTATGTGGGCTATCATTTTCATTAGATTACAGTTGCCAGGGTAAGCAGATCCTGGGGAAGAAAAAGGGTTTCTCCACCATCCATTCTGCTGAGGCTGCTCAATTCTCTCTCCACACAGCCCTAAACTCTTAAACCCAGAACTTTTAAATTCCTTAAATATATCTTACATACTTTTCCTTTCCCCCTTCACTTAAATTGACTAAAATTAACTGTTCAACATCTTCATCTTATGTTTCAGGTAGTGAACTGCTTAATAAATGTTGTCTGTCTACAGTTGTCAGCCAAAAGCCTCAGCTCATGTTGTATTCTTTTTGCCTGGCAAGTCAGGAGACCCTATTTGGAGATGATTCCACTTTCTTTTTCTTCTTTCAAAAAACACTAAAGCCTACAGAACCACATTTCAAAAATAGGAGCATTTATCTTGCTAATCTTTCCTTCTTGATAAAGGAAAGGAAAAAAGTGCATCGCAATACTGAAATTTAATCACTAGCCTAAAAGTCTTTGACAGTCTTCACAAAGACATTAAATTCTTTTTTCTATTTTTAGTAATTTTATCTGTATAACTGAAACACTGAGCATTTAAGCAGTTTCTTCTTCCTTCATTTCCAAATATAAGACAATTTTTTAAGAGAATATAGGCAGAGCTGAAGTGACCATTTGAGAATCATTTAGCTGGTAATTTCTTTAAAATAGTCTATAGCAAATGTATTAATTTTTTCAGATATCATTTTCAGATATCATTTCAGATACCAAATTCATTTTTTTGTAGAAATTAGTATAATAATTACCTTATGGTTATTTCAATGTGTTGATAATATTACACTTTCCCAGAGCCAGCAGGTATTCTCACAATGACTCATGGGGTCATTTTTAGTTTTTCCACTTGTATGATTGGACACTGCCTGGAATAGCATCCTGGAATAAGTGTCAGGAATATCTTCCTTTTGTGGTGGAGTTCTCACTGCCATGAAGGGCAGTATTTATACTGGGAAATGGAGATAACGGAAGATCCAGAGAACACAAATTGGCCCTGGGTCACATGACTAGGCTTCCTAACAGTGCTCCAGAAGGTATGCTCAGTTTCATAGAGCAATATGTGTTTTTTAGAAAAACTTGGAATCCTTTTGCTAATGTAGTAAATATTGGGGACAAGTTGAAATTTTGTATTTCCTAACGTCTTTTATTTATGCCTAGATGATGGACCATCTGGACTATGCAACAAATGAAGAAAACCCTGTGATGTCTGGTGAACAGATTGTCCAGCAGTAATAATTTGTGGAACTGCTATAATGTGTCACTGATTTTCTGCAAATAGACTTTGACTTTTTAAATTGACTTTTGAATTGACAATCTGAAAGAGTCTTCAATGATACGCTTGCAAATATATATTTTTATGAGCTGGTACTAACAGTTACATCATAAATAATTAAAATGCTTTGCTTTTAATATTAAAGTTGTGCCTTCACATTAAATAAAAGCATATAGTCTGTGTAGTTACCGAGATGTATTATATACAGTATATTTTTCTAAAAAAAAATTGCCTTGATCTACCCCTATACTTTTTTACTAAAATCTGTTTTTTTCAGCTCTAATGTTAGATAAAAGTATTACTATCAAAGTGAGTTTCTGAATGGGTTTTACTGTGAAGAATTATGCAAATTATTTCTGCTCTATAGAAATAACTAAGACCATGCAAGAAGGCATTTCAGCAATGAAAATTCACACCTTGTATCACTGCAGAGGTTAGAAATATGTAATTTTTGAAAAAATATAAGTGCATATTTTTGTAATATTTTTAAGCCCAATCTTTTCATAAACTTCAGAACTGAAAATTACTTCAGACTACATGTGTATCTTAAGAACATTTTTCCATGTATAGAGAAACATATAGAACAAGTCACTAAAATTAGGAGACAAACTGAAATCTAGTTTTCATTGATCTGCTGTTTTTTTGAAAATGTAGCTTAAATTTCAATATTAACATTTAGTTTCACTTTGGTATTTCTGATCTTTGAAATTTGGTTCTTTGATGTTAAGGTTTGGTTTCTTTTTAATTATTTTTCTTAAGAAATTATGTATTAATACATATGGCTCATTGTTGAGTACAACATTTCTAAAATTATCCCACATTCTTCCGCCCCACCCGTTATCTTTTTTTTTTTTTTTTTCCTGATTCCCTCCTCTTACCCCATAGGTAATGACTGTTAATCTTGGTGGAGGATGTACAAAGTGTGGTTCAGAGGAAAGAATTGGCAACAACAGCAAGAGACTTGGTGTTAGTCTCAGTTCCATTGCAACAACAAGGAAGAGTTGAGTAATTTGCCGCAGCTCAAGACACTGGTATCTCAGTTCTCTCATTGACAAAATGAGTAGGTTAGACCAGCTAATTACTCTGGTACCTTCCAACTTGAAAAAACTTTTTCCTCATTCTTTGATAATTTTCATATGTGGCCTGGACATTCTCCTGGGAGTCAGAGGTCAAATTATCTTTCCATTTTCTTTTATTTTATCTAAGAAATTCCAAAATGACAAGTGATAACAAAGGCAGCAGGATTTTTCATTTCTCTAAATAATGTATAAAATATGTGAACAGATCTATATCTTTCATCTAAGTCCAGTTCAACTTATTGAAAAATAAACCTAATGCCTCTTAAAATGGATTAGACCTTTGATGTTTGAACTAAATTTTGTGTTAGACACTTTATAAAACTTGTTTGCTTTTGCTGAATAAATTGCAAATAGAGAAGCTCCACGGACAATCAGTCCCTCTTTCTGCTTAATGCAGTTATGGGTCCTTTCATTTATGGCAAATGACCTACCTGACAGGAGTTAATTTTGCCTCCATTGTATCAAATTTGATTTTTTTTCCAAGGAATCTAATTTATTTGGCAGACTCTGAGAGAGAAGAACAGATTAAGTGCCACTTCCCCCGACCAGTGCCATTTTTAAACTCTTATTTTCATTTATAATATTCATAAAGTATTTGCCAAAATACGGCTTTTTTTGTAAAATTACCTGCACCCTCATCCCAGCTTTATGATATTTAAAAGCCTCAATCACATTTTATGAAGAATGTTAAAATTACTCGGTGTTTTTTTTTTTACTACATTGAAATAATTCCTCAAAATAATTTGGTTTCATCTAGCTGGAGTAGTAATTAATATTTTAACTTCATCATCTAGGTTTTGCTCCTCAATAGCATAGTAACTGGTGCATCCAGAAATCTGAAATCTGAGTTATTTGATACAAATTCGACTTTATCCAACCATTCGTTACTAAGGAGGTAAAATCTTGTTCTAATTTGCTATTAAAATCTTATTGGTTAAATAGAAATGAGAAAAAGTGTAATTACTTGAGTTTCTTCATCCTCAATTTCAACTTTATATTGTAATTAAATGTGTAGCAACCAAGCTGAAAATAGTGATTAAGAAATTAACATACAGAAATATTTTATTTGGGGACTCAAAATGAACAAAAGAGAGAGCGGATGAAATTTGACTTTTTTTTTTTTT